AATTCACAAAACTTTGATTGGCACACAATTTTTTCTCAAGGAGGCCGAAGGTTAACATTTTGGCGTCGCATAATGTGCAGTAGAAGCTGAAGCAGCCCTCATACTTTTTGTCAGCGTTTCGAGCGAAAAGGAAAGTATAAGTATCTATTGAGCGTTTTGGGAGAAACGCCAGCGTTTTGAGAATTTCGAGAATTTAAGGAGGACGCTGTAGGATACCTATACTTCCCTTTTCTTTCAAAAGTCCAGCATCTCTCTCAAATTGCTCGGAACGCTCCTTTTTGCCTTAGATACCCACAGTCAAAACACTTAAACACTCAAAACGCCGAAGACAACGTAGCCTAGTTTTTTTCCAAATTATAGAATGAGTGCTGCTAGCTTCTCGAACATTTTTTTTTCAACGTGTCCACGATACTGAAAAAAAACTTCCAGGCAACATCAGTTGTGTTTGATGCGCCTGTTAACATTTTAACAGAATCAGGAGTTATTATTAGATTGCATGCCCGTGAGTTATCAGTGTTTTTCTATTTTGTTTTAATTTCGTGCTCTAGCACTAACGCCAATTTCACCACAGACAGCAACCCGTTCTTGACAGATGAAGATGATATTTTTCTTTCAACACGACGTTGCCCGATCAAGGTACCTTTGATGCGGACGAGTTCGAAGAAGTAAGCTTCAGTATGATTTTGTGATTTGCCGAATTCTGTTTCGACTGCGAAATCGATGATCACCTGAAATTTTACAGTTTCTGTTCGCTCTGGCTTTAATGAGCAATCACAAAGATCTAGAAACATATTCTTCTACTTCACTCTGTAGCGTACTGAAGGTATGCCACTATACACAGGATACCTTTGCTAACCATAAGTTTCATTGTTTTCTTGTAGTTTATGACAAGCCCTGCTACCTTGTGCACGCCTGTGGACCGCATTCAGAGTTTGCGCTCGACCATTCCGTAGCTTTCTGTCAAAGGGTTTCGATATCTTTTCGTTCGATAGCTTCTCGATAGAATGCTTACATTGTTTTGATACATTTGGTGCAAATTAGATCACTAGCTCGTCAGCGTTGCGTACTCAGGTTAGGATCCTTTACTGCTCGAGTGGGGAGACGAAGGTGTAAAGCGTTACTTACCAATCGCAGCCAGTGGGGCGAAATAGGCGTTGCAAGAGGATGACATAGGCGGTACTCGTATCAGGACCCAATCCACTCAACGTAGCAGCGCTGGTGCGCGTCCACTTTCTCTGCATCTGCATCTCTCAAGTCGAGCAGCTCTCTTGCTCGACTTGAGAGACTCTCATTGCTCTCAACTGGCAAGCGAATACTTTGCTAGTGCGCGCGGTGCTGCCATTGGAAAGTATGCAGTATCGAGGGAGACGGAGAAGAGAACCAATCTGTCGCGTTTTTGCGCGCGACGTATCGCGCGGCTCTGCGCGACAAACTCCCGATATGCACAAATTTACCGACTGGAGAGGCGAAACTTTTATGAATCCAAGCGGAGAACAGACTCAGTGATGGACTATATCGAATTTTTTCATCGCTTTGCACTCACATTCAAATGTGACGCAGTTTTCAGTTTGCATTCGTAGGGCGCAGAGTCGGTCGCCACGCCCACCAGCGCGGCATATTACGATTGTCTTGTCACATATCCCTTTTTTACCGAATATCATATGATGGATGGAAAAGTATGAGAAGCATTGATTTCCAGTTGGCCGACTATTTCGAATGTCCAAATCTCATGCGCCTCGTGTTCTCACATCTTAATGAACATCTTTCAAAAAAATCTCCTTCAGATGTTTGTGACGCTTTCGATATTCAAAGTGACTTCAATCAACTTCAGAGGGAACAGGTTCGTTGTTACCGGAATTGGGGTGTATTTTTACTTTACGGCAACGTTCTGAGCGTCCGCCAGGGTTTTGAGAGACTAAGAAGGTATACGCATCGACTAGCTCTCAAGAGGCATGTTGACGCTCAACCCATTGAAACAATATCTATACTTTCCTAGTCGCTCGGAACGCTCAAAACGCCGACAAGAAGTATGAACCCAGCCTAGTACAAGATGAAAAGTGCAATAACTCCTGCGCATCAACTTCTAATGCTTGGATGTTTCAGATGGAACGAGAAGGCTTATGGAACTTCAACTGCTCCACTTGAAATGTTTATGATTTCCTTTCCTGTAAAACTTCATGGCTCCTGGAGCCTTTTCTTCTCATAGAGATGCTTCTTTGTATGAAACGTATCATTTATTCAAGCTCAACAGATAATTATTAATATTCTATGTTGGAAAAATCTACTTAACAAATGTAGCTAGCGACATCCTAACTATGAAGATGACGCTAGCCATTAACCGGTACAGCTACGCATGAATAGACCACACTGTGGTACAATAAAAGTGGTGAACATGAGGTAGCACTGGATAGCTGAGATATTGCCCGCTGTACTACACCAAAAACCGTGAAGTCCTGTACCTGCGAATGGAAGCGCTAGAGAGCACACCTGATGACTCTTATGTGGCCCTGCGTACATCCACAAATACACACGACTTCTCTGGTCACTAACCAGTGTCTAGGAATGATTCAAAAAGTAAAGTCTCAGAATAAAAAGATCAGCGCTAAGGCAGTTGGGAGAGTAGGCAGCGAGTAGGGGCCAAGTAACATCCCTGCTCGCCAGTTCGGCTGGCACCGGTAAGCGCGAAAAAAGCAGAAGATCAGCCAGACCTTGCGTAGCTAACTCTCACAGCAATCTTAACGCCTGATAATCTCTACGCTTATACAGTGCTGCCTATACGAATATGTATGTATGTGATCAAGGATGAGAAATTCATGCGTTCACAATCTATGAGATGATCAGAAACGGCAAAATTACCACAAGCAAATTGATCCGCGATACACAAATAGTTATGTTAAAGAGTACAAAACTAGTCGACTTCCATTTCTCCTGGTTGCGGTGGAACTGTTCCTGGATTATCGCCAGCCGGATTACCATTCATAGGTGGCTCAGCCGTCTTTGATTCTTTCTTCTTTGGAGGTGGTGCTGGCTTCTTCTTGTTTAAAATCGGTAGCACAACTGCTTCGAAAGCCTAAGAAATTAGAGTGAAGACCGAATGCCAAAACATTAAATATCAGATAAAAGGTCCATGACTGAACACTACTAAATCGGGCAAAAGCACGGTATGTCACTGAAGGCCGCGTTCATACACTGAGATGCGATCGCTTTCACCACGCAATCCAATCGCGAAGTATGAATGCACTCCAAGATTTGTTGAACCTCGAACGAAACACACCTGTTGTTTCTGAGCCACTTCGTAAGCAAAAACTACAGGAGGTTCAGTTTTCGGCCTACGTTCCTGCTTATGGCGAGCTTCATCCAACCAACGCTTCTTCTCCTCGATGGCGTTTATCACCTAAATAAGAGGAAATCCTTCTTTCAAACAATCCTCACAGCAGTTACACTTACCTTCTCCATATCAGCGCTATCAATATGAGCGTGAGCTTCTCCACCAGCTACATAGTCTTCGTAAGCTTTACGAGCACGAATTATAGCAGTGTCGAAGGCATCAAACGCTGGCTAAAAGTTGTTAAGTGAGTGGAGTTGTCACCTACATCTAACAGAGGGAATAGCCTACCTTTCTCGCTTCGGCCTCTCTATAGCGCTCAACAATTGGGTCTCCATACTTCTTCAGTTCACCAAGGCGCTGCTCATAAACCTAAAAACGAAAAAATAAAAGAAAAAAAGTACATTTCAAATTACAGTATTGCTTCTAACCGGTTTTTCGGCGTCCTCTCCCTCGTCATACAGCCAATCTTCGGTGTTAGTTAGAAGGGCTCGGAAGGCTTCGGCATCCTGCAGCATATTGTTGTTATAATTTGATAGAAGGTAAAATGGAACCATTCAACTCTGGAGCAAATGCACCGCTCACCGCTTCAGTAACAAACTCGGCCAGAGCATCCGATAATTTGTCGCGCATTTCGTACACGTATTCTTCTACAGCATTCTTAGCGTCCGCTTTCTGCTTCTCTTGAAGATCCGCTGCTTGCATGGCTAGCTATAAAATATAAATAAAACTTAATGTATCTCCCTTCTTACACCTTAAACTAACCTCAATGTCTGTAAATTTCTGAACATCGTAAGCCACTGGCAATCGCTCTTCGACCACGAGCTCGGTGGAAACGGTCTTCGTTTTCGGTTTTGGAGGCCCTTCAGGTTTCGCCGGCGGTGCATTGGGATCTGCTGGGGCAGTACCCGGAGCAGGTTGTTCTGCAGGAGGTGGCTGAGTCTCTCCATCTTGCTCCATCGGTTGTTCCTGTTGTGCAGGAGCGTCCTTCAATGAAACACAATTCGTTTCGTTTCATTACATCTGACCCAGAACCAGCCGATTACCTCAACGATTTGCGTGTCATACATGGTCGCCGAACAGATTGTGAAAATACCATTTGGATTGATTCGAACCTGAACATGAATTACAACGTTTTGAAGTGTCACACCCTCTATAGAAATAACATCATGTCGTTCACAGTTATTGTTCGGTAGCACGGCGGGGACAGACCTAACGGAGCGTGCCGCCTTTCGCTCACTACGCTCGTACTCATGAGTCACTCTGTTTTCCTTGCATAGTTTTTTTTTCTTGAAAAGAAGCACATGCAATTGAAGGCAACCCACTTTGCAAGAAGAGCACCCCACCCGCCTTCCATTATGCAGTAAGGATGTCTTTAGAGATAAGCAAACCGACAAATACAAGTTCAAACCTTTATCTTGACTTTACGAGCCTGGCCTTCAGCATTGGGAGTCACTCCAGTAATGCGCCATGAACCTGCAATGGGAACGTTGTTAAATTCGCACTCATGCAATTCAATTCAATCCACAGAAAAAATTACCGACGGCACTTGTTGGTATGAGGGAATACGTGTTGAGAAGGCGCATATCGAGCGTCGACTTGGAATGCATCCGATCGATATAAGGAGACCATCTTCGAGAATGGGAACTCATCTCGCTCCAGAAATACATCCGACTCACTGCAAAAATTCTTTTTCGCAAAAGGATTGTCGACCACGAATGAGCTGAAAGACCGTACATAATGTAGGAACTTGTGAAATCTAACCCGCTTTCTGATGCACCACCAGACCAAGTGATCTTTACACGATACGGCTGGCAATCTTTGACTGAGAACTCACGAACACGGAATGCTGGTGAGAGGATAGCACACTGCATTGCCGCACATGAGACCACAATATCAAAACGTATCCCACTAGCGACAATGCGAAGTAATCAGTGTTACGACCGCAGTAATGCGCCGGCTCCAACCGCGATATTGATGGTTCTTGTAGGATTCAATTGCCTCCATTTCACGATCTGTCCTGTGCTGGAGCTGTGATATGAATTTTTTGATTTTTACCTCACCTTGCGAGTGCTCACCCGTTGGCGCCCACAAACTACAGACATGCTTTGCTTACTTCAAACATTCCTCCTGATCTCCGATCCCAAAACTATTTCAAGTCGAGTTATGGAATTGCACTTTCCCCTCCCCCTCCCACCCAAACTCTATGCCGTACCTGCCTCATTTTATCCCAACTCGCTGCTCAGAATAATCCATATACCGCCCTATGTACTGTGCTGAACAATATTCGGGGTTTTTTGTGTTCAGTAAACTTCCCGTAAACGGCTTAGAGCGCGTTCATATCTCGTGATCCTATCGCTTGGGATGCGCGACCACCACCAGGGGCGCACCCCAATCGCTAAACCTCAACAAAGGCAGAGTTCCAATTGGGCCGCGTTCGTACAGTGCGTAAACGCGACCCAGCTGAATTCTGCCGTTGCGGCGGTCCAACGATTGACCGTGGAGCACCACTGGTCTCTTGGGCCGCATTCATACATGACCGCTCTGAAGAAATGACGAATAGAAAAAAAACACTATCGATCTAAAAAAAGTCGCGGAATTGGAGAAATGCAGAAGCAGTAGAAGAAAGAAAGTATTCATCGGTTTGAAAACCGCAGAATTGGGAGAAATGCAGAAGTGCGGAATCCGCAGAAATGTCGAAATTTCTGTATTTTTCTCGCTGGTGGGGCTAAATATCCAATCCCTATCAAGTCGTTGTCCGTCAATTCGGCATCCCTGCAAATTCCGCATTTCTCCAATTCTCCCACTTCCATTTTTGAAATCGTTGCATACACTTTGTTCTATCCACAGTTTCCTCATTTCTTCGCAGTTGTCAAGTGTGATGCGGCCTTAACCACTGTGGGCGAAATCAGCCCACGTGCTTACGTCATACATTGAGGCAGATTACGCTGCGACGAGAAAAAAAATGGGATTCACCTCTTGCAACAGCCTCATCGAGATTCATAGTGGTCTTGGGATCCTTGTTAAACACATCCTGTACAATACGGCGAATCATAGGAATACGTGATGAACCACCAACCATTTCGATCTCGTCAACATCCTCTCTCTATAAAAAAAACTGCATTAGGAAACCTATGTAAATACAGAACTTATCATGACAACTTCCACCTTCACGCCAGTCTCTTGAAGCAAGTTCACAAGCAGCTGACGGATCTTCTCAAACTGTGGTGCGGCCAGCTCCTCAAATTCAGACCTGAAGCCAAGTTGCTCGGTTGAAACGAGGTTACAGTTAGGAAAATCGGTCAAGACTGCTAGCGATAAAAAAAATGTGTTTTACCTTTGCATTTTGCCCGACACATCTTTCTCATGAAGGAAACACTCAATGTTAAGAGGTATAGGCGTTTGATTTGCTGACATCTGCTTCTTTAATTTTTCACATTCATCAAGGAGACGAAGCCAGGCTCGCGGCGATTCTGCCGCATCAATACCTGCGTTGAAAAAAGATCTTATTGTGTGGGAACTTCATTATAGCACTCGATCAAGCATCTTGCTCAAGTGTGATAGACTTACAATCATTCACAATGCTTTAATACCTCACCATATGTTTGCTGGAACATTTGACGGAAGCGAGATCTGATCAAATCATCCAACCAGAGACCACCAACGCTAAGATCATATGTGGTGCCAAGCATCTGCAAAAAAAATGAATGATAACCCTCTTATACTCTTAGTTGCGACTTCAAAGGCTTGTGAGATTTTAACGCTTGGCACACTAATTACACGGCACCAACAAACACGCAAAAGTAAAACCCCAAAGAAAACCCTATGCAGCTTTACCCGAGTCGGAAAGATGGTGGATGACTGTCAA